CATAAAACAAGTGCAAATGATGGTGAAATTACAAATAATACTATCAAAAGATAACCTACCCTAACAAAATTTCCATCTCCAAGGTCGTTGTCAGGGCGCTTTGGGTTGTTAAACATGGCGCGTAATCTATTCACCGATGGCAATTCCATCCCTGAATCTGCATCATATTCTCCACGACTTTCTGGGACTTCATCTTCAGCTGTCATTCCGACAATATGAACAGGAAGTGGTTTTTCTCTGACTGATGAGAATCCAGAATCCACAGATAGTCTAGGTGAGGAGAGTTGACTGGAGTTATCTGTCCCTGATGACAATCTGGGGGATCCGTCTGGAATATTTAGTTGTAGTTGATTGACAGCTGATTCTATCATATTCACCTGAAAAATAAAGATGAAATTATCTTTCCTGCTTTTAAGCAAACTTAGCGAAGATAACTTGCCCTTTAACAATCCTCCCTCAACAGAAATACAAATAGTAGTATTAGTACCGATACACCAATCAGTTTTTACTGCCGAATGAATTGTACCCCAAAATTTTTAACAGAAGTATAATTTTTATACGTTTTTGCCCCAAAATATGTGTCAAAATGCACCAAATCAGTACATTTTTCCTAATTTCCAAATTTTCTTGGGAGATCCTCCATGAGAGTCTTGCGACAAGACGCCTCCACAAAGTTCCAGCATTTTTAAATCAGCCTCGACAGTCTGTCCCTCTTTTGTACTCCTAACCTACGGAGGTCGGCACGCCACTAATGCCCTTTATTGTAAATTCCAGCTCTAAGGAAACACAATTCCTAGTATTCTATGGAAAGTATTGTTAATGTTATAATTCAAGGGAGAGAATTCTGTTAAGCTTATGTTAGTTGTCAATAGTGATTATAAAGGGGCTGAGCTTGATTGGTGAGTTCTGAACTGGTTCCGTCTGATCCAATTCTGGTCTCAATTGAATGGTTCAGAAGCAGATATGTAATGCATTCTGAACTCAGTTCCAACTTGTTTTATTGAATGTTCAGTAGATTCCATGAATCACGAACGTGCAGAACTCACCAATCGAGTGCCACCTTAATCTCTAATATATTGTTAGAACATGCAAGAACAAGGAGCAAGAACGAGGATCAAGAATTGAAATGTTCAGTACCTCACGTTCTCTTTGAGACACTTGAGCAATAGTCTGAGCAACCTCATCTTCCAAAACTTGTAAGTTTGGCGAAAGAAAAATTTCATCATCAGAATTTTGGACCCTGGCTTCTAAGTCTCTTACCCGGTCACCCAGTGAGTAGACCTTCCCGGCGGCTAGGTAGATCTACAATGAATTATGACATGCAATGAGGTTACATAAGCATTGGTTAGATATTATTAGCTAAGTGACTGGATGAACAATGTTTTATCAAATCAGTGCCTTGATGAATTAATCTTAAAACATCTTAATACTTTGGGATAGTAAAAAGATTATCTAAAACTTTTCATGTATATTGGCGACACTGATATCATTTGCGCACCATTCTAATTCAGACGTTCCTGCAATTCCACTAAAAATAAGTGTTTGATATCGTCACTAATCGCAAAATGTGTATCTCATCAAACACTTTTTTAGTGGATTGCAGGAAACACATGCATCTGATTAAAAATTGGAATGGTACAAATTGATGCTATCAGTATTCCCTATACACATATACTTTTTCAGAAAACCTCTTTACAATCCCTTTAAGTTAAGTTAATTAAAGCTAGAGACTTGTTGATCCAACCTACCTGTTCTTCAGTTTGTTCTGCGCCGTTTGAACGATTCACAATCTCTGCAGAAGGAGAAAATGGTTTCAAGTTCACTTCCCAATGTTTCCGTTCTGTTGATTTATTGTCCACACAAAAATCTCTTTGATAGCGTGACTTATCAAATTCTTTGGATCCTAAATTCACACGGATATCCGGTTCAGTACTTTGAGAGTAATCTGGCGTTCGTACATTTGAAACGTCCATATTGAATGAGGAATTGTAATCCGGCACATCATATTCCAAGCTCAAATCGGAAGGTCGGGACACCTTCTCAAAGTCATTATTTTGATGCGCCTCATTTTCATTCACTTGCGTCTGATAGGTCGATTGGTATGATGTATCGTCAGCAAAAGTGGAGACACCTATATCACTAATCACTGAATCAAGATCATCAGAAGTCTCGAATGGAATTGTGTCATTATTTTTAGAATTATTCTTGAAATCCTGCGATTCCTCTGATGGTTCCAGATCATGAAGTTCCAAACGATCTGAAGAATTGCTTCGTAAGTTACTGTAATCTGAGTCCTGCTCATTTTGGATTATTTCTTCTGCTGTACGTAAAATGTTTAACGCATTTGAGGTCAGCATTCTCACAGATTTGGCAGATTTTTCCTGAAAAATGGAGATAAATTTGTGAAACTCCAAAACAAAGCAATGTTTAAATATGGAAATAAAATGAGTGGAGTTTTACCTCCTTCCCGTCTGCACCTAATTGGGCTAATGAAGATGGGCAACGTCATGCAGTGTACAAAGAGGGAAATTTTGCCAGGACAGCGGCGTCAGTCAAGACTCTTTTTCGATTTAAAATTAGAACATTTAACATTTTGAAAACAATGAAGTTAGTGAACAGTGCAGAACTTTTCATTCCAAAATAAAAAAAATAAAAAATGAAAGCGAAAGATTGCGATATCCCAAGCCATGTGTGATACCATAACCGTGTGATTTTCAAACAATTTTAAACTTCTGAAAATTAATTGAGGTTTGTTTCTTTGATGAATTTTTAAAAACAAGTTTTTATATACTTTTAAAGGGATTTTAAAGAGGTTTTCTAAATTTTTTATGTATATTAGGGACACTGATATCATCACTGCATCGTTCAAATTTTCAATCAGATGTCTATGGTTCTTGCAATTCCCCTAAAACTAAGTGTTTGATGACGTCATTAATCACAAAGGGCCTTATGTGATAAAAAATATTTTGTGATCAGTGACGTCATCAAACACTGAGTTTTAATGAAATTGCACTAACCACAGACGTCTGATTGAAAATTGGAATGATGCAAATTGATGTCCCTGATAAACATGAAAAATTTCTAAAATATTTTTACAATCTCTTTAAAAAGGATTGACAAGAGGTCTATAGATTCAGATACATGAGCATCATAAGAAAATGTTTTTTATAAAATTTACAGTAGTTGGTTTTAGAGTTTAACTTGCCATCCAAGCTTTCTCAGAAATGTGCTTGAAAATCTCATTTCAATCCCCCTAAAGCTTACCATAGCTTGTTGGTCCTCCACGGCCTCCAAGATGGAAGTGTCACCTATTTTAGTATAATGACCGTTATTGTTGTTGTTAGTGTAATCAGAACTGGTCATGTTTGATTCGAGTGAATCTAGGTGTTTGTTCAAACCGTCTAGGTGATTATGTAGTGTTGTGAACTGTTAGTATACAAAAAACATTTCTGTTAGAAAATTCAGAAGTTAATTTTTGATCAATTCTACCAAATTAGACCAATTTTTCAGTCCTTTTTTTTATTAGCTTTTATTTTTAATATAGCCACTTATGTTAGGGCCTTAGGACAGCTCTCTTAAGCTTTTGACCTAACTCAAGGATGTCAGCTTAAAATCAATCAAAATTCTACCTTCTCTACCGCTGGCATTTTGTGACCAGTGTTTATCAGGTTAGGTCAAAAGAACGAATGTTCAAGAAGGCCGTCCTTAGACTCTAACTGAAGTGGCTATATTAAAAATAAAAGTTAATAAAAAAATGGAGCAAAAGTTTGGTTTAATTGTAATTCAAATCATTTTTAATTCATCAATTATGGTGTTATTACAACAAACATTCATTAACAATAAAGTTAAACATCATGCTTGTCCCCTTCCCACAATCCCTTTTTTTTCAAGAAAATGAAAACTTATTTCATGAAATTTTGTTTGACAAAATCAGTTCACGTTCCCCATCCCTTCTTTTGGCTTGAAAAAGAAAAACACTTTTTTCTATATATGGAGTCAGATTATGAAAATCCATATCCATATTTTAAGCAATCCTAATGCTTTTTCTTTTTTTTGCAGCAAAATGCTGACCAAGATCTCAGAAAAATTTGGTTTTCTTGACAAAAATTCAGAAATTAAAAATGATCAAATGATAATGAGTAAGCAGACAACCATCACCAACAAGCAGAAGTAAACACAAGAAAACATAAAATGGCTGCCATACCTCATTTGCCGTCTCTAGCATTTCTTCTGCTACGTACGACATATTGTATTTGGTTGCTATGAACTTGTCGCTTAAATCACTGACTCCATTTTGATGCTTTGTGCTGATTGGTGTATTGTAGTCATGTGATATAAGCTTAGAATGAGAAGATGGCGTCTGGGCAACAGGAGTAGAGGGCGTTGTTGCTTGAGAGTTCATTTCCTCATCTGAAAGAAAAAAAACGAAAAAATTTTATGCAAATATACAAGCAAAGAAAAACACCCCTTAACTTACAAATGAGCCCTTCTTATACACATTGGGTATAATATTGATAGAAAGAATGCATGTGTGGAAGAGTCCAATAAAAAGTTGAGAGGTGTCAAATAGATGAAGGGACACTATTTCATGCCTTGCATAGGCTTGACTTTTTCAGGCTCACCAAATAAGAAATGTGCCCTAATTTCATCTGTGATATGTGAAAACACCACAAAATAAATAGCCCATTTTGATAAACATGTCCATAGATCAATATCACAGTTGGGTATTTTAGGGCGTATTTTAGACATGTCTGGCAAATAATAATATAAATCATATTCAGCCCTACATATCAAAATTAAAACCACCATTTCCCCTTGACAACAACAGGCAAACGATTTTGCCAGGACAGCGTCAGTAGCCTACTCTTTTCCAATTTCCAACTGTCCAAGGATCTTAAATCTGCACAGCCTGTAGCATACAGGGCCTCGTTTTATTGTCCAGTCTTAATTCCCTCTTCATGAAAAGAAAATGGAAATTTACATCCAATCAGAATTGACCTACCTGTTTTGGCAGGTTCTACTATAACTTGAGCTGTAGACTTAGCCTCGCCTGCAATATTTTTAGCACACACTGAATATTCTGCATCATCATCCATAGTAGCGTAATCTATAGTCAATATGTAGTCACGGTTACCAAACTTTTCTGGAAAAACAGATCAAAATTCCAAAAATCAATTTACATAATAATATTATTTGCCATGTGGACTCTCAGAAAGGAATGGCATGTTGATAAACCTTAACACCAAATTAACCAAACGTCAAAACTTCCATCACACGCTGGGTTGGAACACTGTCTTTTTGTGGCAGTGGAATAGCTCAGTCAGTGGCGAGTTGTTTTGTCGTCTAATTTGAGATTAGGTGCTGTGGGTTCGATCCCTCCTCATGGTAAGAAAAACTCTGATGCATGTGCCAATGTTTCCGAGAGCTCTCACCTCCTAATACCAAACTAACATTATTATTGAACTAATAAAATGATATGAAGTCAAAACAAACAACCATTTTTACAAAGATAACAACATAGGTTAACAAGGATCCTGTAACCGGTCACCGAACCTCTTGCCATGGACAGCTGGTCTACTAGAAGAAGTTAGGTTCATGCTCTTTAAAGGTGCCAAGTTTGATGCAAATTCTTTGCTGCAACACAAACTGAACTTACCTATTCGTGCATTGCCAGGATTCTTCATATGCTTTCCATCTTTATGCCATGTGACCCTTGGTTGAGGGTAACCTTTGACCTTACATCTGAACTTTACACTTTGACCCTCATTGACCTCCACATCTTGAATACCCTTTAAGAACTCTGGTTTTTTCAACTCCTGTTTGTTGGCTGAAATTAATAATCAAGATTATTTTTAGTTTTCCAATTTACACGAAAAATAAAAAAATTAAATTTAATGTCCTATTTTGCCACATCTAAAACCAAAATGCAGTCTTTTTGCGAAAACAGTTCTCCTGACGAACGTTTTGGAGTAAAGTCGTCTTCAAAAATGAACCCTGATAGTACTTTATACATGAAGGCAACATTTTTTGACAGCAGGTTTTTTAATGAAACATCAGTTCACTTCAAATTTTTAAAGGGACTGTAAACGGTTTTCTAGATTTTTTATGTGCATCAGCACACTGATAGCATCAATTTGCACCATTTCAATTTTCAATCAGATGCCTGTGGTTCCTGCAATTCCACCAAAACTAAGTTTTCGATAACGTAACTAATCACAAAGGGCCTTTTGTGATAAAGCACGTTTTGGAATCAGTAACGTGATAAAACATTTAGTTTTAGTGAACTTGCAGGAACCAAAGACGTCTTATCAAAAATTGTAATGGTGCAAATCGATGCTATCAGTGTCCCTGATATACATACAAAATTTAGAATACCTCTTTAGAATCTCTTTAAGTTGCCTACACCTAGAATGACTTAAAGGATTAAACACACAAACTTTGATCTCCTGGTGTTTAAAATGTCATTTCATTCAAATGCACTCAAATTGACGTCATGTACAGCATTAGTAAATATTTCACAAATGTTTCTTAGTCTTTTGAATTAAAGTACTTAGCATCACTACTGCATTTGTCACTTTGTGAATTCTAATTACTCCAGAGATGTGTAAATGTCATGCAACATGAGATCAAATTAAAGTGTGCATCCTTTCCCTCAAAGAAATTTGACAGAAATTAAAGGGATTGTAAAGAGGATTTCTTCAAAAATAATTGTTTATTAGGCACACTGACGGCATCAATTTGAACCATTCCAATTTCCAATCAGACGTCAATGGTTCCTGCAATTCCACTAAAACTAAGTGTTTGATGACATCACTAATCGCAATGGGCCTTATGTAATAAAGCATATTTTGAGTTCAGTAACCTCAAAATAATCCCTTTAAGATTTTTTTCAGAAATTCAATCATTATGCCAGTTCAGGAAGGTAGCCTTATTTTGAAATTGAAATGAACCTACCTTTAACAGTGATGATAAAGTATTGTGTACATTTTCCAACCTCGCTGAGTGCAATACACATATACTGTCCCGTCTGGTTTTTCCGTAAGTTATACATGGTTATAGTATGTTTATCTCCTTCACTAGAGAGTTCATAATCTTCCGAGTCTTCAAGTTCCTCGACCTCATCACCTTCATGATACCAGAACACGTCTGTGAAAGAAGAAAGAAATGCCAGTTATAAATCAACAAATTTCGTTCCGTTTTTTTTTAGCTTTCATTTTTAATTTAGCCGCTTCAGTTAGGGTCTAACGACAGCCCTCTAGAACATTCGTCAAATTAATCTTTTGACCTAACTACATGATGTCTGTTTCAACCAAGAAAATGTTTGCCCCCTGGGATTTTGTGATGCGGTGTTATTAAGATTAGGTCAAAAGGTTAATTTGACAAACATTCAAGAGGGCTGTCGTTAGACCCCAAATGAAGTGGATATATTAAAAATAAAAGCTAATAAAAACAAATTTGGTCTAACTTTAATGGAATGAACAGATTTAGGACAAACCTGCCTGGTAAGGACTCCTGTACTGATTTAAGTTCTAATCTTGCTCTTGGCATTGATCTTTCCTGCCCATTTACAGCTGGTTTCACTAGAGTTATGTATTACACTTACCAACATCACCTGTTCCAGCCACACGACATGTCAATTTTAACGGATCACCCTCTTGAATAGTAATGCTCTCCGGAGCTAGCACAAATTTTGGATCATCATCTTCTGCTGGGACTAACTCTTCCGAAAACTTTAATTTCGTTTTTGATTTGTCTACAATTGGCCCGGAAGTGTCTGTATTATCAGAGTCTGAACGATAAAGAGACCTCTTAAAATTATCCAAATCCAAGGAATTAGTCCTACTTCTGGATTCGTGGTCCGAGTCCGTAAGAAATGAAGAATTTGACAATTTTCTTGAAATTCTTGCAAGTTCCTCAGAAGTTTTGGCATAAAATGAATTATCTTCATCACTGTAGTACACATCGTTTAGACGGTCACGCTCATCGTGGTCCGAAAAGTCTGACATTTGATCAACATCCCTGAAAAATTTTAGAAATATAGTAATAGTAAAACAGAACCTGAAACATGTTCTTACTCATAGTCTTATGCTGTGTTATCTTCAGAAAACTGATCTATTTCAGCCTGAGTCCCTACTGAAGTTTGACAAGTAATGATTGTTTTCAAGTCTTGAAGGGATTGTAAAGAGATTTTCTAAATTTTTATGTGTATCAGGGAAATGATAGCATCAATTTGCACCATTCCAATTGTCAATCAGACGTCTGTGGTTCCTGTAATTCCACTAAAACTAATAGCAAAGGGCCTTTTGTGATGAAGTACATCATAAGACACTTAGTTTTGGTCGAATTGCTGGAACCACAGACATCTGATTGAAAATTGAAATGGTGCAAATTCATGCTATAAGTGTCCCCGATACACATACAAAATTCAGAAAAACTCTTTACAATCCCTTTAATGTACTATAATATGTATGATTGGTCAAATGAAATGAGTATGTGTTCATTATCTGTGAATTGGAAACTTTAACACATTTTCATTTTTTTTAACAAACAAATTCTAAAACTTAAAACTTACTCGTTTCCAACACGTGGTACAAGTTCATCCTCGGGCTGTGGTACCATCATAAATAACTCCCCATCGCCACCAATTTTACGTTTCCCACAATTATCATAGGGGGATAGAATGGAAGATGTGGATCCTTTGATAATCCAATTGTTCCTCCATTGAGTATCATCTTCCTCATTTTTAGAAACTTTATCTAAATCTTCTTCAGTTTCCTCTGGGATTATAGCGAGATTCATCGAGAGCAAATCTGGATCAACTTCGTAAGAATTAAAATCAATATTTTCAAGGTCAGAAAAGTCTGGCAATGGCGGCTCCGCACGTTGCACTCTTTCTAAACTAGAGTAACGGATCTCAAAGTTCTCCTTCTTTTCCTCACGTTCGTAATCCACAGACTGGACAATCACATCTTCCACCTCCACACGTTCATCAAATGAACGAACTGATGGTGTTTTACGTTTTGTTGATTCCTTCACAAATTTTTTCAAATCTTCAAAATCCTTTGTGAGGTCACTGGCAGCATCATCTATTTCACCTAAAAATAGAATCAAATTGAAAGTTTGTTTCATAGTTTGTTTCTGGGCCCAATGCTGGCGGATTTTTATACCTTGTGCCATATTCGTTTTCGCTCTGCTACCATGAAAATGATTGCTAGATATACAAGATGAATTCAACCGACCACCACACTGGTGACCAACTAAACTGGCGCTCTCGAATGCATTCAGTCACGCTTCAGCCAACTCATGCGCAAACATGCTCCCTGTCCATATTTGGCAATGAGCCACTTTAACAAAAGGATTGACAAAAGCAGTATAAGT